TCCCGTGTAGCTGGGTCTACAGGCCCAGCTAATTTTTCGATATTTTTGTTGTTGCTATGTTGCCTGGGCTGGGCTCGAACCCCTGGGCTCGAGCAGTCCTCCCACCTCGGCCTCCCGGAGTGCAGGGCTCGCAGTCATGAACCACTGTGCCCAACGCTGCAGGTTTTAATCTACAAGATTGGATTTCTCCAAACGTTTTCAGCATCGAGAAAAGCTGAAGCTGTTCCTGCTCTTGATATTACTGCCGTCTAAACACTCCAGGTTCCTCCAAATATGTGAACAGCAAAAGAAACATGTGTGCCTCATTTTTTTCTCTTCTCCCCAAACACGAGCACACAAACACCCAGTCCCCCATCACCCCTCCTGTGGAGAAGAGATCTACATCCGTGATGAGAGGCCGGGTGTCAGGAACGTATCTTCAGAGGGTGGTCTTTTGGGGCTGGCTCAACTTTCTCTGTAATCTTGTTAAATTCACCCCCATCCCAAGGACTGACGGTCAATAGGCTGAATGAATGGCTTGACAGGCATGTGTCTCCTTTGGAGAGGCAGTGTTCATAGGAAGCTCTGTTTATGGGTCTTTGGAGGCGCTATTTGGCATAAAACGTCATCAGCAGTGCTTGTTAAAGTGCATGGGGAAAATAGGGAGTGACTGCTAGTTTAACCTTGAAGTTTTATACTTGCAGAGCCCACAAGTTCTTTGGTGCGGGCCACCCTTTCTCCCTTTTGTTTGCATGCTGGGTAAGCTCTGGGCGACTAGGAGTGGAAGGTCCATGCCTGGGGTCTATAAATCCTGTGAAATGTAAACAGCATTGATCCAAAAGAGCTTCGGGGGAACAAATGCTTCCCACAACTCTGGGCTCTTGAGCTCTGCAGATCCCAACGAGAAGTGAATCACAACTGAGACAGCATGTTTTCTGTCCCTACAGGGATCTGGACGGAAATGTAGACATTGACCTTCCTGAGGTGAGTCTTCTGACGTTGCTGTGGAGGATGGGATTCAGCTGATGGTTCGAGAAACCTTCCTTTTAACCATGGTATCCTTTAAAATTCTAAACGTTGTGGAATGGTTATGTGCAATCAGGGAAGCACCCATGACACTAACCACCTAGAGAGCAAGGTCTGTGCTTCTAGTCTGTCCTCTTCTGGTCCCATAGGACCTGGCCTGAGAACAAGGCAGGTGCTTGGCATAAAGCTCTGTTTGGTGTCATCTTTCTCTGTTGTCAACCTAAGCAACAAACAGAGAGACACTCTCCAGAAGAAAAGATGTTTATTCAGGAATAGGGCATGGCAACGGGAATACGCGAGTCACAGGAAACCATGTTCATATTCAGAGAGATAAAGCAGACAAAGGTTTCTAAAGGAAAAAATGAGGAGAATTGCAAAGTTGTTTTGACATAATTATCCTTGGCTATGAAGATCAATACCAAGGGTGATGTCAGTCCAAGGTTGGACAGGTAGTTGCTAGACAGGTGTCCTTGTAGAAGTACTGTTTGTGTAAGGTTGCGATGGCCTCTGTGCCAGGTTGTGGTTTCTGCAGTCTTTTCTGACAGTTTTGGTATCGGGCAAGCAAGCTTCTCTTCACAGCCTTCTCCGGCTCTATTTGTCAGGGTTTTCTTAACGTTCGTGACTCCATTTTGAGATGATAACTTTTACACTACCAGCTCCATCTCGTAGTGAAGGTCACGGCCATTTCCTAATGGGGCAGTATATCTTTTAAATGTATTGTATTTAAGAAAAATAAACAAGCAAAAGAAAACAAGAGGCGGGCAGATTCTATAGACTCTAGGAACCCGTTACATTTCCCTTACACAGTATGTGGAGGGGGGAGATGGGTTGGTTTGATCCTGTCCAAGGCACCGGAATGAAGACCTAGTTTTAGGGGGAAAAAAAAACTCGCTGTTCCATGCTGGGACACAGGTTATTATTTGTTCCCTCAAATCAAAAATTCTTACTTAAAAAAAAAACTTTTCTGAGCTTTTTCTAAGCCTCAGGCCCAGTGCTAGAAACAGACACCTGACCTCAAAGGTTTTTGTCATCCATCAAAACATGATTAAGCAAGTAATTCCAGTCCAGGGTGGTGAGAGGTGAAATACAGGGAATGCAGGAAGCGTGAAAATCCCGTGGCCGGGACCAGACTTAGGCAGGGCTTGGGTTTCCGTTGGCCTCCTCGTCTGAAGGCAAGTGGCGCCATGGTCCAGTGGCGGAGTCCTTCCAGCCTCACCCTCTAAGGGCCTTCTCAAGGAACGCTTACCACTCCTGATGCTGCGGGAACCAGCTCGTGCACGCCACATCAAGAGGGTGCCGCACGTGGGGCTGAGCACGGAGGCTGCAGCGTCTTTTCTGGGGTTCATCAGGCTCCCTTCTTGTGGGTCCTTTGGCGCAAGTCCCTCTTGTTATTCTTCAGCCTCCGAAGCCGACTCCAGCTGGCCAAGAGACCGAGGAGGAGCGGCAGTTCCGGGCGCTCTTCGAACGAGTCGCCGGCGAGGTAGGGCGCGCCCAGTCAGTCTCCCCACCGGGTGGAGGGCCTGGGGCTGGGCCTGGCTTCCCGGCAGAGTGTTGTGAGCTTGGTCAGCAACACCTCCCCAGGCCCAGCGGAGCTTGTTGCAGCGTGAGACCAGCCCTGGTCCTGGTGGCCCAAAGGCCGCTTCCCTCCACAGCATCTCTTACTTACGCACCAGTCTGTCCCTGGATGGGGCAAGAGAGTCCAGAGGAACTCAGAACTGGCCCAGGTGCTTTCTTTGGGAGGCCAGAGAAATCCTTGAAGAGGTGGCTCCTTTGAGCTCTGCCCGGAAATGGCGGCCATCAGAATGCTGTCCCTGCTCTGTTCAAAGGGCAGGCTGAGCCCTCTCGCCGTTGGCGGACTAGTCCCTGAAACGTGGGCCACACAGATGTGTGTCGCTGCAGCTCTGCGGGACATGGGGGCAGCTGCCTGCCACGAGTCCCAAGAGTCAGTCTATCCTTTGAGCCAAATAGAAACTCTAAAAAGAAGGTGAGAAGGACCATAAAAAGCCATTTTCTTCGTTTCAACAGGACATGGCAGTGTCAGCAGAGGAACTCGAATATGTTTTAAATGCTGTACTGCAAAAGAGTAAGTGCTTTACCCATGGTCCCCAGGGCTGCTATAAAGGGTTGAGCAACCCCACTGCCTGGGTTACCTCCAGTTCCCCCAGGTACCATGCTCCTCAGAGCCGCAGACCTGCTTCCCCGGCTGACTTGTAGGTAAACTACAAAAATAGCTCTCGTTGTTTGGGTCCCAATGACAAAAATTATGATACAAGTTTATGGGAGAAAATTCTTAAAAAGGCAGAAAAGCCTAATGACAAAGATAAAAATCATCAATAATCTCACCACCATAAATAGCCACTATCAATGTATGTGTATCTGCTTGTATGTATATGTGTGTCATATGTGTAATCTGTGTGCATGCAACCCATTTTAGAACATATCACTAAAAAAAAAAATCAAAGCCCTTATACCCATTAACAGTCACTCCCCATCTCCCCTAGACCCAGGTAGCCACTATCCTACTTTCTGTCTCCATAGATTCGATTTATGTATTCTGAACGTGTTTTAATAAGAGGAATCACAATGTGGGGTCCTTTCTGGCCAGCTTCTTCCTTCATTTAGCTTGTTTTCAAGGTTCATCTATGCTATAGCACATATCAGTACTTTATTCCTTTTTCTGGCCAAATTATAGTCTATAGTATGGATATTCCTCATTTTGTTTAATCATTCCTTCATTGATGGATATCTGGGTTGTTGCCAGTTGATGAATAATGGCTGCTGTGAACATTCGTGTGCAAGTTTTTGTTCTAGACAAATGTTTTCATTTGTCTTTACTTTATAAGTAAAGAGAACTGTCGGGTCCCACGTTAACTATGTTCAACGTTTGTTTTTTTTTTTTTAACTGCCCAATTGTTTTCCAAAGTGACTATTTTATATGACCATCAGCAGTGCATGAGTGTTCAGGTTTTTCCAGCAACTTAAAATCCTGCCTTTAAACTTAATGTTTATGAGCATTTCTGCAGGTCATTAACTATGCTTCAAAAACATGATTCCTAAGGATTGTATAATATTCCTTTATAAGGATGTAGCCTAATTTATTGACCATGCCGTTTCATTGGTCATTGTATCTTTTCTAAGTTTTTGCCATTATAAATAACCTGATGATTTAAAAAAATCTCCATATGTAATTCTTTGCTTGGAATTCTTAAAACCAGAATAAATGGATGAAAGTGTATCCCAATGTTTAAGGCTTTCTCATATTTTGCAAATTTTCCTTCTGAAAGACCATGTCATCTTCTCCTCTGACTGGCATTATAAAAGAGTGTCCACATCATAGCCCGACCAGCCTGGGGTCTAGCCACACTGTTGGGCTTTCAGCAAGTGGGGACATAGGTTTATCTTACCAGGGGTCAACTGAATTCAGCTTTCGTGTGTGATTTCAGAAAAAGACATCAAATTCAAGAAGCTAAGCCTGATCTCCTGTAAAAACATCATTTCCCTAATGGATGTATCCTTCTAAACATTTGTGCAGAAATGGACCCTGACGTTGGGCGTTAAGTGCAGAAGGGGGATTTCGATAGTGCAGTCTTTTTAAGAATGTGACTTCCTCAACCAGTAGGATGGTCTTCTTCACAGAAAATGACCCCAAGCCAGGGGACCCCTGATAACTAAAATTGGTTCAGAATGCAGAGGCTCAGGACTGTCCAGTGGGGGAGGAGTTTTGAAGGGACTTGGGGATCTTGTAGCCACGTTGGGGTCCAGTCAAAGGCAAGGAAGAGTTCTGTTTTTGTGAACCTTCCGGCACCACCCCCATCTCACCCCTGCCATTTGCCTTCTTCAGAGATGCGTAGTGTAATCATTAAAACCACCTCCCCGAGGCCCCAAACCTGTGTCACTCAGGCCAGCCCACCAGCCCTCCCCTTCCAAAGTCCCAGAGCCTGGGTCCCCCCAGGAACCTCGGGTTGAAACACCGCCTGGATCTCCCTTAACCCACGCGGCACAGACCAGCGGCAACGGGAAGCTGGAGTTCGGGGAATTCAAAGTGTTTTGGGACAAGCTGAAACAGTGGACTGTATGTGACCCAGCATGGGGCTTGGCCTCTAGGGGACCCCATGAGCAGGGAGGGTTTCTAAAAGCTGCTGCAGGTGCACAGGCCAGAGGAGTTGTGTCCCCGAAGGGAAGAAGGGAAGACAGTGTGATGTAATTCTGATGCTCGCAGAAGTGCCACACTGCTTCCTCCCAAAAAGATTGGGAAGACGAAAGAGAGGCCCACTTCGTTCAGAGGGCCAGCCTGGTCATTGCCTCTGTGGGTCCCTGGGAGGGATCACTCCTCCCAGGCTAGCTGTCACCCAGTTACTGCCATCGATGTGGCCTCTCAGGCGCTCTCCTTCTCAATGCCTCTGCTCTCCATCCTACAGAACCTGTTCCTTCGCTTCGATGCTGACAAGTCTGGCACCATGTCCTCCTATGAGCTGCGGGTTGCACTGAAAGCCGCAGGTAAAGAAACGCCCGGGATGTAGGTGGCTGGCTGTGTGCCAGGCCAGCCTCAGGTGCTGTGTGTGGGCCCCCGAGCGGGTGGCCGACCTTTACGGTCCGAGAGGTGGGTGTGTGAGCTGAGTTGATGCTTTTTAAGATCCCAGGTCTTTGAGTGATAGCATCAGCTCTCAGACCCAGGACTCCCTGGCTCCAGGGCCTCTGTCTTAAACCACTGTGAACATCAGCGAGAATTTTTGAAATGTATCCACTGAGAATGAACTTGGGCTGGGCACGGTGGCACGTGCCTGTAGTCCCAGCTACTCAGGAGACTGAAGCAGAAGGATCACCTGGGCCCAGGAGGTCTAGGTGACCTGTGATTGTGCCACTGTATTCCAACCTGGGCAACGGAGCGAGACCCCGACTCTGTAGAAAGAAAGAGAAAGAACTTGGCCTGCCCCTTAGAAGCTTCTCAGCCTCTGGCCCAGCAGAGTTACATATGACCCTGATGGCAAGCCTCTAATTAGACCTCTAATTTCTGTTCATAGATGGTTGTTACCACAGACAAGACAGGACCTGCCTGCGCCTGTGGTTTGGGCGCTCACATGTCCCTCTACCACGATAGCCCTGTCCCGGTTTTGTTGGCTACAGACTCTGAATTCCCACTGGATGACTTAGTCTCAGTTCATACTCTGCTCTCTTTCATGAAAGATGGGCTGCAGGTGGCATTTCTCACCCCAGGTCGCTCACTGCCATGGCGGTCTGAGTGTCTGTGCCCCACTGTCCTGTGCACACAGTGCACACAGGACACTGTCCTGTCCGTGGTCTTGAGGGGCACCCCACGGGCTCCCTCGCCGGGTTGCTCCCAAGCCACACTTCATAGACTGGGGCTTCCGAGCCCCATAATGTGGTTCTTGATGCTGGTGGATTGGGGTACAGGACAAAACTCCTGGGCTCTTTGACTCAACCCTGAAATGAATGTCAAAGCAGCCATCAAAGTTTTAAAACAGAGTTATTAGAGAAAGAAAAGGGGGAAAATACAGAAAAATGTGTCACAGCACAGATGTCTTGGAGAAAAACCGAGTTTTTGCTTTTGACAAAAGGCCTGATACATTTTCACAATTAATGATATACTAAAGAGTGTGGAGCACAGGCAACCACTGCAGAGAGACTCCCATCTCCTCACCTTTGTTGGGCAAAGGGGTGGTCTTTTCCAGAACATGTACTTTGCCTTTGTGGGAGACTTGCCAGACTTCTGAATATACAAGTTCAGGAGGTAAAAGGAAGTTTTAGTATCATCTCAATGACTTTTGGTTCCCAGTCCAGAAATCACCTTAATGGAGTTTTCCTTTGGTGAGCTGAGGGGTGAGGTGGACTGTAGTCTTCATTGAATTCACGTTCCAACCAACAGAGCGGTTCGTCCTGCCGACAAAATGTCTGGACACTTTCTTACTAAAAACTAAAAACTGTCTATAAGAAATGTTTCTATCCATGTCGAAGCTGTCCTAGTTACCCTAGCTCCCTCCTAGAAAAATCAGACACCTGGGCACAGTTCCAGCCTCATAGTCTGATAAAGGGTCAGAATGCACACAGTCAGAGCCACCTTGGATCCTACATGAGGGACGAGAAAATAAATGTGTCACGAATATGCAGTGTCGAAGTGATAAGGGGTCCGATTTTCTTAGGGGCTGGTGACCCTGTCTCCAGGGCAGGGGAGGAACTGAGCAGGGGACAAGGGAGCCCTTCAAAGTGGAGGGGTTTGACCATGTCCTTCCTGCCCTGCCTTGGTGTGGGGGAAAGACCGTCCTCACCCCCGCCCCCAGCCCCATGGAGGGCAGATACCAGGATTCTGGGCATGGCCAGCAGTCAGCACCACCATGCTCTGGGTCTGACCAAATTCCTCCTCAGGCTGGAAATGGGGGGAAAGTCTTAGGAAAACCCCAGGTGGCCTTCTGAACAATCCTGTGAACACCTCCTAGAACGTGAACATGCAGGCTACAATAAAAGGGGGAAGAAAGTTGCTTCTGAGAACACTGATTAGAAATCAAAGCATGAAACATTGGAGTAGGAAGAATTCACCTTGTGTAAACCCCTCACTCGACAAGTGAGGACACCGAAGTCCTGAGATCTGAAGCCACGTGCCCGAGGCTGGAGCAGCCACGGGGCTTGAGTCCACGCCTCCGGGCTCCAGCCGAGCACTCCTCCTCCATCGTGGATGTGCAGGAATAGGCCCCGTACACAGTGTCGTTCACTCTGAGAAACATCTGGGAACATTGGGTCCAGCGCCTCAAGAGATAGCCCTGGCTGCAGGTGCCACGGGTGAACTCCTCCGAGGCCCGGCGGGGACGTGTACAGGCCAGAAGGGAGCGCAGAAGTAGGACCTGAGGGGCGCTGGTGTGGAAACGAGGGTGGTGCTCAGAGACCGTCTAGTGGCAAGCTTCCTGAAAAGTCAGCGGGCCCCTGTGGGTGATGCTGGGCGTCAGGACCAAGACCAAGCCATTAACTACAGAAAGTCCGCCTGGGAGTCCAGTGGCAGCCTCAGCCCTCCAGTACAGGGGCAGTTCTCATGCTGCATCCACGCCGAGGACAGGGAACCCATGGGGCCTGGGGCTCCAGCCGTGCAGAGGGGAGCGGCGGCTCCCTTTTGCCAGTTCCCTCCTCGGGCGACACACATGGTGCTGAGGCCTGCCATCCCGGGTCTCCTCCTCCCGCAGGCTTTCAGCTGAGCAGTCACCTCCTGCAGCTGATCGTCCTCAGGTACGCGGATGAGGAGCTCCAGTTGGACTTTGACGACTTCCTCAACTGCCTGGTTCGGCTGGAGAACGCAAGCCGTAAGTGTCCGGCGGTCCTGACGGTGTCCTCAGTCCCGGAGGAGGGGCACCTCGGGGTATCTTCATCCACCCCCCCACGAACATGTAAGAAACAGCCTGGTAAACACGATGGCCAAGGCAGACCACAGAGAGCCGTCGTGTGGTCTACGTGGGCGAGCGTGCCTGTGCGTGTCTTCTCTGTCTCACATTTCTTATCGTCACCCCTCTTTACACATTCACCGGGTCTCTGCGGGAGGATGATGGGTGGGGAGTGGGGTTTGTGCCTCATGGCTGAGGAAAGATTTGATTTCAGGTCAAATCTCATCATGCAGAATCAGAGTCTCAGTCCCTCTCCTCCTGCTTCCTCTGCCCTCTGGAAGCCCTAGACATTGACTAGTTACCTCCAACGAGATTTGTTGCGGGGTGCAGTGGCTGACACCTACAATCTCACCATTTTGGGAGGCCAAGGCTGGAGGATTGCTTGACCGCCAGGCATTGAAGGCCAGCCTGGGCAACATAGATTCTGTGTCTACAAATTTTGTTTTTTTAATTAGCCTGGCCAAAAAAAAAAAATAGCCTGGCATAGTAGCACATACCTGTAGTCCTAGCTATTCAGGAGGTTAAGACAAGAGGACCTCTTGGGCCCAGGAGTTCAAGGCTGCAGCGAGCTATGGTCATGCCCCTGCACGCCACCCTGAGTGCAGAGCAAGACCCTGTCTCTAAAAAAATAAAAAAGAAACAGAAAGAAGATGTGTTATACTAAAAATAGAGAGGAGATGGTATTTGAGGCTCTTTACAGTTTGCAGTTTATTGTCATATCCACCCCACCCCTTACAGGTAGGCGGTTTTGAAGGTGAGGCATGTCCAGGGCCTGTAACTCAACACCAAGCGGCGACAGAGGCAGGTGCAAAGGGACCCCTGCCGCCAAAGTTGCCCTGTACTTGGCTTAGTGCTCTGTTGCCTCCACCTTGAAAGGCTTCATAATTTCTAAACAAGAGCCTCACATTTCCATTTTGCACCGGGCCTCACAAATTACATATCCGGTCCTGCTTGACATATTCTGAAATATGTTTGACAGGCCATTCCGAGGCACTTGATAAAGAAAGGCAGGGTCTGTGATCCTGTTATGCGGACAGCTACACTCCCTCTGCCTCTGTGGGGACGGAACTCTTGCCTGAAGTGCGTCTCCGCCAGCCTGCGATCTCCGGGAGAGCCATACTTGGCAGGCGGTCAGGGCTTGTGTGTGGATGAAGAAGTGAGGGGAGAGCTCTGGAGAGAGGCTAGCAGGCCCTAACCGGCCCTGTAGGTTAAGCCAGGAGGCTGGGCTATTTCGGGGTGGATCCCAGTAGCTAGGGAGATGTGTGTTCTAGAAAGACCCCTCCTGAAAGGTAACCTCCGGTTAGACTTGCAGGGTGGTCAAACCGACCTCAGAAACAATGAGATTTGAGAGGGTTTTTTTTGTTGTTTTTTTTTGAGTTGGAGTCTCACTCTGTCTCCCAGACTGGAAGGCAGTGGCCGCTCCCGGCCACCGCAGCCTCGACCTGCTGGGCTCCGGCGATCCTTCGCCTCAGCCTCCCAAGTAGCTGGAACTACAGGCATGCGCTACCATGCCTGGCTGATTTTTTGATTTATT